ATAAACGCGGACGGTACAATGACCTGTCGCCGAAACAAGCCCTAGCCGCCAGATCCACGGTTGCCGAGCGACACTCTCAGCGGGGATCCAGGTCGACTGGATCTTGCCTGGACCGGATCCAAGAGAGCCAGGTGGTACTTTGCAGTAATGACCGAACCCAACAGATCCTGTAGGGACGGAAGGAGGCCGGATGTAGCCTCTAACCAGGACCGCGTGTGAACTGTGTCCGGTCGGTGGCTTCTCACGTGGGAACGGACCACAGTGATTTGGTGGATGGAGTTATGACATTCCGTGGCGGCGTATCGCCGTAACGCGGAATTTCGCTGTGGTAGAGAGGTAACATGTAACGTCGGGTTGCCGCAAGATGCGTTCTCACACAAGCTTACCGCTGCGCACAACTTTCTACAGAGCGTAGCAGACCATAACTCATCGCCAACCGACCGGGCATACGATTATGACACTGCACTATGCACAAGTACAATGCACATTGTACATACTCTATGCGTCGTCATATCGCCCCACTAAATCACTGTTTCCCAATGACACGCACAGATTCTCATATTTTGCAACGCACTCGAGAACATTCCTGATCCATGACCATCCCGAGTCCCGACTCTTAACCCCGCCGTCTCACCCGCCTCTAGCTCTCCCTCCCCTGACTCCCCACCGAACCTTGCGCGTTGTGCGTGACCCGGTCAGAATAGAATGCCCGCCGGTCGTGCTGGGGCCTGCTCTGCGCCTGTTTACGCGGCATGAGCTGCGTCAGAGGAGGTGCGGAGCTGCTTCCTCACGAACGCACGTGATGGGAGCGCTGTGACGGTGGGAGATTGGCGGTGGGTGGTGGGCGGTGGGTGGCAGGCGGTGGCTGATAGACGGTGGCTACTTGGTGCTATAGGACCCGCAGCGACAGGGCCCGTCAATTTCCTGACGGATCTACGGCCACGGGTCGATGCTGACGGGCAGCCGGCGGCCCGAGTCTGACATAGTGATGCAGTGGCTGCGATTGTCGCTGACCAGTTCCGTGAGCGGAGTCTGTGAATCGTGAACGGTCACCGTTATGGTGACGTGATCGATCGTGGCTGTCACAATCACTCAGCGGGCCGTCGGCTGCCGCTGCAGGTCGTGTCCACATGACCTGATCGCTGATCGCCACTTCGATCGCTGACCGAAACCATTCGTCGTGTTATGCAGAAACGGGACTTGGTAGACTAAAGTAACGTTACACTACTGCCGCAGACACCGAATGTGTATTCAGTTCAACTCATATCGACCGTCTGCAGCTCTGTGGTATTTCCAGTTCCTATCGGTGTCCATTCAAGTGGCTACGGCAGTACTGTCTTCGAGGCTCATCCCGGAAGTATTTAAAGAGCCCACTCGTGCCCGTATCGCTCGTAACTGCGAGTTTAACCGTCGCCGGTGCAGTGTTCTCTGGACTATTACACCGGCGATGGCGCGGCTATTCCCTTTCATAGCCGCTTAGAGCTCCGGAACCACGTAGCGCGGTGAAGTTCCACACTGAGCCGCGGTTCTACACTCACCTACTCGCATACACACCTCAGGAAACCGGACGGTGGGAGGGTCGTTACTGAAGCTCCTGCGTCCGGCGCAGTACCACTCGCGTTTACAGGAAGGCGCCTACGTGGGGCGTAAACACCGCGCTCACAGACGCACACAAAACACACATTCCTTCGTCTGGCTGCTCGCCGATCGTTAGTGAGTGACCGCTTTGATGAGACGGCGGAAGCGCGAGCCGAGCGGTTGGCCTGCGGCGGCAGCGGTGGCTGACGGCGGTGGCCGGCGGTGACTAGCCCGGCGGTAAACGGGCGTCGCCGCGGTGAGTCGGCGCTCATGGCACGCCGACCGTTGCGGACAACACGCCGGTCCTCCCGCCGGTCCTCTCCCGTCCTCTCTCTCTCTCTCTCTCTCTCTCTCGGTCTGACCGGTTGGAATGTGCGTGAGAGCGCGGTGACGCCCGTCGCTGACGAGCCGCCGCCCCCTGCCGCCGGACGGTCGGGCGGGACGCGTCCGCGGCTTCAGCTACACTTCAGCGGCTCTTGACCGAGAGCGGTGCGTTGGCCCAGGGTGGGAGCGGTGACCGCGTGTGACCGGCCTGGACACCAAACGGACGCCACGGACGCCGCTAGAGAGGATAGTGCGTGAGGGAGAATATCAGAGATAGGGACTGCTGTTGTAGGGTGGCATGATTTTCTATGGATGGCTGATTTTCTGGTGCTTCGCTACTACATGCGCTGACTTTTGACCAACAATCAATCTGTGATACCTGTGTGCTTTAGAGGTCAGGATAAATTATGTGGCTGGACGTTTAACCCGCGACCTGGTGGGGGGGGGGGCTATTTTTTGCCCCCCCCCCTCCAGACTTTTCGATATATCTCCAGAACCGCTGCGCCGATCGTCACCAAACTTTCAGTACCCTCCCGGACATCAATTTTACACATTGTGACCAAAAATTTTTCCAAAGGCTATGATAGGTTGGCCGGAAATGACGTCAGAGTGACGTCATGTTCTGCCGTTTTCGACCCAAAAAAGGGTTTCGCGGGAAGAGCTGTCAGGCCTATAGCTTTGCAAATACAGAAAAATGATAAAGACATAAAAGCTGTAGATTAAACAGGGCTACAAAACTGCTATCTCGGATTTTTGAAATTTTTGGATTTTGACCCCCAAAAATCAAAAAATAGATTTTTTGGATATAATAATCGAAAAATCCAAAAAGTTTTTCGAATTTCGCAAAAACCGGAATATATGTGATAGTCTTTACCGCCTTCCATCCACATACCAAATTTGAGATTGATACCTCTTTTTTTGGCGAAGTTATAGCGAAAAAACTGTTCAAAATTGATGACGTCAAATTTTCAAACTCAATTTTTAGCAATTCTAGACCCCGTAGCGCAAAACAAAGACCACCATTAGACTCCCCGTGACGAGCTGCATCGAATCAATACCCATTTTATGCAAAACTATCAACTTTAAAATTTGACCTTTTTTGGCCTGACCTTGACCTGACCTTGACCTGAACTTCACCAGAAAGTGACCTAAGCCGTACCTGATAGTCTTATAACCAACACCATTGAGTTGGAAATGAAAAATTGGCCATAAAACATGTATCACACAACCTTAGTAAAGTTGGGCTCATGTGACCTGACCTGTGACCCTTGGTGACCTGACCTGTGACCTGACCTGGTATTGCCAGTGACCTCTAATAGCAACATATCTACTAGGCAACTGACGCCCTACCGCTGATTCTCGACAAAATGCGTTTTCCTCGGTGTTATAGCGCATTCCCTAGAAGACCCGTGAACGGTGAAACATTTCATCTTTGACCTGACCTGTGACGTCATCGGTGACCCCGAGGTCAATGAAATTTGGTTTCCTTCGACAAATTTGACAGGCCTTTCGAACGCCGTTTGAATTTTGCGGATCCGTCCAGTAGTTTCGGAGATACGAGGGGGGGGGGGGCAAAAAATAGCCCCCCCCCCACCAGGTCGCGTTATAAACAGACCCTACCAGGGCGCGGGTTAATGGACAGTAGCAGATGCCTGAAACAGATGTGAAATGATGATTACAACAGATGTTTTGGCGGTGGATGGGCAACGGTACTCTTTCCCTTATTACAACTCCATCGCGGGTTACGGCACGCTGATATTAGCAAACCGGGACACTCGTCCGTGAACCCAATTCCCCGTCATGTCAACACACGCCGCTAATTACGATCATCAGGAGCAATCAGGCACGGCGGACGAGCCGTCATGCCTGTCAACGGATTCGGGTCACCGATAACGTCATCTGTTCTCTCCCTGACCAGAGCTCAGTGAGCCCAGGTCAGGTCGATCAGAGTCAAGTCTAGTGAGTCCTATCTGCTTGAGCTGTGCGTGCCACGCCTTGCCCGCCCGACCGCTCGCACAAAGCAGCGGACACAAAGACTCGGTCGAAGCCGGCCACCGGCGTCGGAACGCGACCTGCGTGCGAGCCGTGGGCCGCTCGACCTGCGCTTTGTCGGGCGACGGGTCGACACAAAGACTCAGCTGGGGTCGAGTCCTGACCGATGGTGTCGGGCTGGAACCTCTAGCATTGTGTGACCAGGCCTGTCGCGCTGTGTGGTCTCTGACACCGTGATCTGTCCTATAGCATTGGGTGACCAGGTCCCTGGCGCCGCATGGCGAGATTTCAAATGCCGCGTGGCCAAGGTTCCGGCGTCGTGTGGTCGACAGCCAGGTTACGCGTGTGACCGGCAGGCACCGGCAGCGTGGTGTTTCCGTGGTTCAGGTGTTTGCAGCAAGGTGCCTCCCAGCTCCGTTGGAACGTGCGTGTTTACGAAACCGGACGCTAGCTGCCCACGGCATGTTTACGCCCATCGAATGAGTGTAAGATTTACAGGCGAAGCGTGCGTTTCTTTCTGGTAATTGGAATGTAGAAGCGGGTGCTTTTGAATAGAGATTGTGCTGCGTGTTATGGGGCGTTGCAAGGCGCAGTGATGAATGTGACGTGTGTGCATAATGCGAATCATATTTCTCTTTCTTAATTAAGCCACATTGCAGGGCAGTGCCTTGTACGGGTGGGTGCAGAAAAGGAAAAGGCAAGCCCAGAGGCACAAAGGCGTTTCATTTTATGGGCTGATTTGTGAGACGAGGTATTGCACCAGTATTACTCATGACTGGTTGAGCGGTAGCTGACATCACGGGGCTTTGACCTGAATCTCTCCTCGTCCGCGCCCGTTTCTGATCTCGGTCCGGATTAACGGTTGTTTCACTGATCCGTGATCCGTGTGAAATATACTAGGGAGATTAGCTCATGCAAATCGGATCATGGAACATAGCTTTATGTGGTTTTGTACTGTGCACTGATGTATAAAGTAACGGATCTTAGATCATCGTAGTTCCTATCTGTATGGACGAAACATTGCAACGTCTCGCTTGGTCTTGCACAGTTATGAAACCAGTGACTGCCTGCCCAACATTCTGACATGCTTGTTTCACTGTCCGTAGGTGCCACCCGTGACATCGGCACAGCACTGACCCGCATCTGTCTGCGGCACCGCGCTGTGGAGGCCAAGGTCAAGACGTTCGCCAGGTGAGGACAGAACAATACAGGCCGAGGGAGGTCGTACGACGTCCCCCGCCGTAACGAACTCTCAGGGACGTGACTTGCACTGGCGAGAGAGCGACCGTAACAAGTTGAGCTGCATGCGTAGGTAGTACGTGTGTAGAGAGGAGTGGAGGGATAGGTCACAGGTCAGGGTCCTTGAAGACCACGTTTTAACACCTGTCTCTGCGGTGCCTCTGACGCTGAACACCTGTAGCCTTGGTTTGTGTATGTCGTTCTCTTTTTATCACGCTGTTGAGAGTCGTCGTTGCATTGTCTTTCTCTCTCATCCCTGCCGCCTGAGGTCACCCCCTGGGTCGCCGGGTGTCGCCCTAGTGTCGCTCTACGCTCTCTGGGTGCCGACGTGCCCATCCAGGCTCCATCTGACAAACGGGCGCCGTCCGACCGACCGATGTTATGTACCGCCCACAGCTGGGCGTGGGTCGGGGCCATCGCTCACCGCCGCCGCACGGGCCGGCGAGCGCGCATCTCACGCAGCTCGGCACACACGTCGGACACATGTCAGGAGCGCATCGGGCTGCACTGGAAGGTGCTGAGTGGTAGAGGTGCATTGGTGCCAAGGACGCGCGCCATTGGTCACGAGTTACTGGACGTCGGATAGTGCGTTAATAACTTACGGTGAAGAACAGGTTTGACCGAGCTAGAGTCACGTTTAACCCTCGCCCTGGCAGGGGGGTCGATGCGACCCCCCTAAGGTATTTCGAAGATAGCGTAAAAACGGCGGCGCGCAGCGCCGCCAAATTTGGCACAGCCTATGGGGCAACCTTTTTACATATGACCTGAAAATTTCAGGTCCGGGTGACCTTGGGTCAGGTCACCAGGTGAGAAAAACCGGTACAAGGTCATGGTCGAATTTCAATTTTTTTTGCACCTGTCCAACTCACAGATTTGGACTGATTTCCTTCAAACTTTCAGGATGTGCTAAGTTCACCGAGTTGTATAACATATAGTTCGGGTTTTTTGAGGTCACTGACCTGAGGTCAGTTAGAGGTCATTACGTCATAATGTTAAGCCTATGGGAAAATACTAAATTCGGAAAATACTGGAGATATCCGCTTCGTTCTATCACTTTTGTGCTTTGAAACCACAGAACTTAACAACAGGTCACTTGGTACTTCTTTGTTTGGTGTACTTCTCCATGGGTCAGGTCAAATGAGGTCAACTGAGGTCAAATGTCGTTTTTGCCAATAACTTGGCACATAATGACGCTAGAGCTTAAAAAATGGTAGCATTGTGTTCCTGGTGATCAGCCGAATCGAATGATATGCAATATGATGCAATTTAGTTAACTTGAACTTAATTTATTAATTTAAGTTTACTTAAAATTTAAGAAAAACTTTAAGTACACTTAAGCAAGCTTAAAAGTATATCATTCGACGCGCCTTGACGTGCTGAGTTCATTGGTGCTTTTCTTTTTGCTCTATCTTAATTAGATCAAAAGTTATAAGCGAAAAACTTTTGACCTGTTTTTAGCGAAATTTTTACATTTATACCCAAAAAAACCCTAAATATTGACCTAGAGCAACCAAATTTGCACAGGGGCGAGAACTCCAGGGGGCCCACCTACCCACAAAATTTGGTGTTTCTAGGTGCCATAGGAGCCAATCGCGAGGGGGGGGGGGGTCGCATCGACCCCGCATCTGCCAGGCAGTGTTATGAAAAATGCCCTGACAGGGCGAGGGTTAAACCACGCTGTAATTGTCGTGGCGCTGTAGTTATATCGTAACCATGCGTGAATCGCGTACGAATTACGCCGGAGCTACCCCGGAGCGGCGGTAGAACCTTGACGCACCGCCGCCGCGCAGAGTCAGGGCGCAGGAATAGGTGGTGCGTAGCCGGTGGAACGGAATGGGTTCATCGACACCCGGTGAGCGCCGCGGCGGGCGCGAGCTTCCGTCAGCGTCAGTTTATGACGTTCGACATGATGTGAACAGATGTGCGCCACCTGCGCTGAATCGAGGAACCACGAGCGCCGACGTCTTGACGACTTGGCCTAACCGGATTGGTGACTCAGACGCTGACGGAACGACTTTCCGAGGGGGTGGGGTAGCCGGAGCCCGCCCAGATTGAGGTCGCCGCTCGACCGGGCCGACTAAACACCCCACAGAATCTGACCCTTTGCTGTCGGGTTGAGCGACATGGTGACATCCCAGTGCTGCCCCCATTGCGGGACATCTCTGGCACACCGGCGCGATGGCACGACGATCCCGTGGTTCAGCGGTGCCCAGGAATGTCTGCCGCGATCCCGGCCGGGTCAGGGCGCCTCTGACACCGATCCGAGTCAGCGCGTCAGCTCAGCGGCGCGCTGATCCTTCCCGGCGCGTCAGCCCAGCAGTGACCGGCGGCATGTTGACGCTGATCCGTCTCAGCGCCGTCAGCACCACGGCGTGGGGCCGGCTCCGGCGGCGGTCCGCGGCTTCGGCTGATGGAGCACCGTCCGCTGGAATCAATAGCGATCGACCCGCGCGAGATGGATAGGACGGTCCGAGTTTACGCGCGTCGCATATCTGGCTTCCATCGGCGTCGGCCGGTTTGGATGCATGCTAGACGCCGCATCCTGGCGTGGTTTGTGCGTGTTTTCGTAGTGCGTGTAGCTGAATATGGATGCGCGGTGCGGGGCGTCTCTTGATTAACGATGAGCAGGTGCCGTGAGCGGGGAGCGATCATACCCTGGGGTGTGATCACGGCTCATTAATTTTCCTTGGACAGACACAGACGGACGCAAATGTGCGGCAAACGTATGTCACGAACGCACACACCACGTGCAGTGCGTATTGGACGCTCAATTCGGTCTTTTCTCTACCCGATCCGCTCGATGTTGTGTTCATTAGTGAATGTTGCCCTGTTTGTGCCGAAGCATGTGCGTGGCTCTGGTGGCGCAACTCTGCCGTCGCGGTCTCTCCGCCGCGGCTGTGGTAACGCTGACCTTGCGGTCACGGTACCGGGGCTCGACTGCCCCGGGCCGCCGCGCCGGCCGCGGGAGAGTGGTCTATGGTGCCGGCGTGGTGCAACCTGCCGGCGGCCTGCCTGTTTTTGCTGCGGCTGCAACTGAATAGGGACAAACAGTGTGACTGGGTGCGTTTCGGGGTCGGCCGCCACGGTCCTGTAAGCTCCCGGCGGCCCGCGACGAACATGTTTTGACACCGAGTAGGTTTATAACGTGACTAATTACCCTGTGGTGTTTGCGCTCAGAGCTCGGCGCTTTGAATTGAGGCTCCAGCTGTAACCCGTTTATGTCTCGTGCATCAACTTGACCGCCTTACCGAATGAATGACCCAGCTGCTTCGTTAGACCCGGTGCCTTATCACGCCGTGCGCCGCTGGGTGACCGCTCCGGCCTCTGATCTCTCCGCCGTGTTTCTGTCCGCAGTGCGCTGGCCGAATGTCTGATCCTGCCGCTCCAGGGAAAGCTGGAAGACTACAAACGTGCCTCCGCACAGCTCGAGAAGGAACATACGAGAGGTAGGTCCAAAACTCTGCTGTCGCCGACGTCCCAGAGCCGCCCGACACACGTGCGCGCGGACCGGCGCTCGGTTTCCATTGAGACCGCTCGGCCCGCCGGGGCTCTGAATTGGATCGCCAGATAGCTGCCGGCCGCTATTGAGTCGACCCATTGTGAAGCACCCCTATCGCGCCGGGACGCCGTGTCGATAGGGCTGGAGTGGGGCAGGGCGCCCGGGGCCCAGCCGCCGCCCCGCCCTTGGGCACGCACCAGAGGAAATGTGCCCCCGTCACCGGCGCCGCGCCGCCATGGGTGGCGGCGCGTGTCGCCGCTGATGATAAGATAAAGGGTGATATAGGGGCGCGCGGCGGTCATCGGGAGCTCACGCCCACGCGAGGGCGGGGCCGAACAGTAGGGAGGGCGCTGAAATATCTGATGGGGAAGAACGGCTTTCAGTGAGTCAGAGTGGTGGATGGGACTGTCTGGGCTCGGAGTGACCGAGAGGGGAGGATCCTGCGGTCCGGACGGGCTCGTAGACACTGGTATTGAGGGGAGCCGACGGCATTGAGAAGCGACGTCGTTAGTCGAGAGCGAGAGAAGACATTGAGCGAGTGCGCCGGAGAGTGGAGAGGGGTGTGGTGCTGGGGAAACTCAGACGCGACGACCAGGGAGACGGACGACCGGGGGAGATGCGTCTCCGCTCAGCAGCGGAGATAGTGCGGGAGACAGTGGGAGAGACAACGCGAGAGACAGCCGCCTCCGCCGCCGTCTGCCCCCGGCTGTGTACATAGCCGCCAGCCTTTGTCGCTGTGGTGCGGCTGCGTTGGGGAGCGGACGGCGCGGGGAGAGAGAGACCCGTCGGTCGGACGCCGCGGGTGGGCTTTGTCCCCGGGTGAGTCGCTGTCCCCACTACGCAGCCGCCTTTGTGGACGGAGGGCGAGGAACGTCCGCGCGTCACCGATGGCTGCGGCACGGCGTGGGGTCAGGTCACTGGAGCAATGGGGATCGCTGAGGGTCATCACAGGTCGCCGCGGGTCATCGTGGCAGGTCAGCGCGGGTCACCATCGCAGGTCGCCGGGTCGGCCGGCGCTCAATGCAGCGCCGTTAGGGTAACGAGCGGTGGTCCGTTGGTGTCAGATAAATGTGGGACCTCCGGGCACGGCGCGTTATTTACGCTCACAGGGATGGTTTACTGCTCAGGTGCTCCACGAGCCCTACATCAACTTAATGAGATCGACTGCCTCGGGGCTAGCCGCTATCGGGTTTTATTCGGGGGGTTTTGTGTGCAATATCATCTGACGAATGTTATTCGGTCCGCACTCCATTATACGATGAAAGCTTCATGTCCTGTGATCCTTTCATGGAATAGGCTGTTATCTGTGCTTTGTAATTAGCTGCCTAACCAGAATCCAGGTGGATGTTATTGCTTATGGTTATTGTCCTCCTCTACAGCTTCTCAGCAACTCATTATTTTTTCTCTCTTCTTCCCTCTCTCCTCCCCTCTTTTCCTCCCTCCCTTCCTCTCCTCCTCTCCCGTCTTCCGTCGCTGCCCTCTCACAGTTGGCGCTGCTCCGATGTTCTTCCGCCGACCTCCCGTCGCCATCCGTGCGGCGCTATTTGTCTGCCCACGGATTTGTGATTTAGATGAGCGCAGATCGGCTGTTTGGCGGCCGACACAACTGATCGATCAGCCTCTGTCAGCGGACGGTGCGTGCAACTCGGCGGCTCGGCGACACAGCGTGGCTCAAAAGTTTTGAGCCAAAACACTCCTCACAGTCCTCACGGCACGCATTCGACTCCAAAACATTCCTAGAATAATCCCAATCAGTTCCAAACTTCAGAATACTCCTCGAATGCTCGACTAGTCAGAAACGCACTGCTGGCAGTGAACATCGGGATTGTTTCCCGATCGTTTCGCGCTTCTCCATTTCGACCAATTCTTCGGCGACGAGCGTGAAGTTGGCGGTCAGTCCGTTTCGTCCATCTTCCAGTCCAGTTCCTCACCTGATCAGTCCCCCGCTGCAGTTAGCGATGGACTCTGGCGGGGCGCCGGTCGTCTCGCGAAAAACCGCCTGGTTCAAACGACTCACTCGGCGCACCGCTGACTCTCTATAGTGCCTCGCCCCACTGCTGAGACGATACCTATCATCGTCACACACGGCTGGCCGTCAATGGCAGCTGTGCAGCCAGAAAGATGGGCAGCTGGATGACCGAGCAGCTGGGCAGCTGGATACAATGGTCAGCTTCGGTCGAAATGGCGGCCGTGGTGATGGTGCTCTTGTCGGTTTGGTGGGAGAGTGGATGGGATGGACAGAGAGGGGTAGGTAACTGAGTGCTTCTTAGAGCTGTGGTCTTCCCGGCGCCAGTTAGTCCCGCCGCCGCCCACCGACACGGTCAGAGCTGGGGATTTCGTGTTCCGCGGCTTATGTAAACCGAAGTTTAGACCCGACTTACTGGGGACAGCCGACAATTCTACTGGGCTTTGGCTCACTGACAACAGAAAACATCATCATTCGTGGAAGAGATTAGCCGGTTTTCGGCGAAGTGATTCAATGCTCTGTCACGGTGCATAAACAGAGACGACAGCAAGCCTAGTGGGTCGGCTCAAAAGCTGCCCGTCCGTTATATTTCCCATATATCTGAGCTCAGTACAGCTTAGCAAGATCACAATGCCACGCGACCGCCGGTTGATAAACCAGGAAGAGCTCTGACGCCCTGTTAGTGAGACCTCCTAAAACCCGTTCCTCGGAGTCGGAATAATCGGCCACGTCAATCTGACAGAGGCCTAAGCAAACACTCGTTCTCCGGCTGAATATCGGTGGTCTGGCAGCGGCTGGCCGGCGTAGCGGTGCGCTGTCCGATTGTGTGGGAACGGGTCGTCCATCAGCGCCGCCCCCGCCCCCGCCGCCGCCCCCCCCCCCCCCCGTCGCCCCCGACGCCGGTCGTCGGGCCAGGGTAGACCGGTACGGTAAATGGCGCGTGACACGGCTAATAAGCGTGACGGCTGCCAGTTTGCCGTCTTCTAAGCACACACACTATATATTAAGGGCGCGTTAACGCTACGCAACCAGGGGCAGCCCGCCCCGTTTGTGCGGTATCGATCCACTTACCCGCTGGAGATCGGGCACTGATTTTCGCCGAAAGGCACACATTTCAGAGCCGAATTTCTCGACTCATTTCCAGACAGATCCGTTCCCATTTGGGACGTTTCGCCGCTAGTCTCGGGATTTTCAAACAATTCCCTCCCGCGTCGTGTTAGTGGGTGTCTATTATTTCCAAAACTTGAGAAATTGTGAGTTTATTGCCTCTGACGCTGAAATGACGGGTCCGACTGTAATGTTTTGCCTTTATCAAGCGGCACATTATATTTTTTTTTACCAACTGATCGTAGAAGGATCTCGCTTTGCTATGCGTTCTATTGTTACTCCGTGCTATTTTTTCTCCATCAGAGCACCCATCTCCCGTGTCTGCCTCGCTCCCGCTTACCGTCTCTCCATGTCTCCCGGTCTCCGTCTCCCCGGTATTTCTCGTCTGCGCCCTTTATCCGTCTCTCCGTCTTCGTTCACCCGTCTCTCTTTCGGTCAGTCTCGCCATCCGTCTCTCTGTCGGTCCGTTTGTCTCTCCAGGGCAGCATGGGTAATCCGCTCTGCCCCCGTGTAGTCCGCTGCGCGGTCATATTCTGTCCGGTCCACTGCGCGGTCCTATTCTGTCCGGTCCGCCGCGTGGTCCTGTCCGGATGCAGTTTGCCACGCGGTCCTATTCTGTCTGGTCCGCCGCGACCGTGCCGCGCGGTCCCATTCTGTCTGGTCCGCCGCGCGGTCCTAATCTGTCCAGTCCGCCGCGCGCTCCTGTTGTTCTCTCCAGTCCGGTCCGGCCCGGTCTCGACACGCTCGGCGGCGGGCGCGGCCAGGCACGTCGCGGGCGACACCGCTCACCCGTGGGCCGTGGCTTCCCCACCACTGTCTCCGCCATCGCCTCCCCAGCCGCCACCGCCACTGCACGCCGCCACTGCACGCAAATAGCACTACGTTCTGCACCGTCTGCGACGAAGACGGCGCGGCGGCGGCGGTGGTGGCGCAGTATTACCGGGCGGCTTACCAGAGGCGAATTACCGGTGGGAACTGGTAGAGGCGGTCCGCCAGCGTCAGGGAGGTGGTCGGGAGTGGGTATTGGATCTGCGGATTATCGGAGATACTGCACGCGTCGTGCCCCGCGATTGAATAGGCAGATTACAGGCGAGCCACTTATCACCAGAAATAGAACTTGGCTTGGGAAGACCCTGACGTCCCTCGGATGCTGAACGAGCAGACTGAATGCAGTTAGCTTCCAGCGAGACTAGAGCGAGTGAATAATGAACAGGAGGCGTTTTGGGCGGCTGGAAATGGCAGAACTTGAGCTCTGCCGGCACGTTCGATAGGTTTTGTGCTATTAACGTTTCGGCGTGAATCTGCCACTGGGGAGAGAGATCTAACGTGTCCGCATGACTGACCTGACCGTTTCCAACGGAATTCCACTCATGCCATTGAGTTCGCCATGGATTTTCTGCGTAAATTAATGAAGACCGCCAAAGGGCCCGTTCATGACCAGATCAATATTCGATCAGGTCTCTGACCCCCGTCATCATACTTTGGGCGACCGTACGTTAAATGTGTTCACTCAAGGTGTCACTGCCGCGTGAACAGATGACCCGTAAGGTGACCTCACAAACCGCCAGTAGCAGATCGTGTCGAGTCATTTGTTCGGCACGCCAGCCGCGTGGGGAAGGTCGTTTGTTTCGCGTTCTTTAGTGCAACGCAACGCTTTCCAATGCTGAGGGATGATGAATGACTACATTGCTTTGCGACGCTTTGAACGGTTAATAATGTCTCTTTTACGTTAGGTATCTCTTGTTTCTAAAAGTAAAAAGCTAAAAGTGCGTTGACCATCGGCCACCGCCTGCCCATCAAAATAGCCAACCAGACCAGACTCCGGCCATGTCGCTCGGGGGAACCGGTGAGTTCGTCAGCTTCTTTCCTTACTG